GGATGGCCAATTTGCATATTACTCTTTTATTAGATAGGATTTTCTAGAGCTCATAATTCTTACATGGGCCATTTCTCATGCAAAGCAACATTCTCAGGTGTGGAAATTAGTATGAGGACATCCTTAATAGTCTACTCCTTTTCTACTCTGAATAAATGTCCATGTCTTTGTGCCTTGGCCTGCAAAGCTGCACAGGACCGAGCCATCACACCTTACACCTTGACTTGCATAGGTCTCCCTCAAGAGCTGTGTTGCACTACATTACTCCTTAAAGTTTTCCATGGTCTTTTCAAACATGAGATGTTTGCACACATTCTTTATATGTGGCCTTCTTTCTGAATCTCACTTGTTTCTTCAAATGTCTCCTTCTCTTGCTTGTTCCCATTATCATCATTACATCTTACATGTGTTAATATTCTTTCTACTTTTTCTGTTTGTTAGTCTTTTCCAGTAGAAAAAAGGTTCCCCTTAAAAAGAGGAACTTTTTTGCTTTGCTTTTTTCCATACCTCCAGTGCCTGGATAATGCTTAATAGAGGGCAAGCAATCAATAGATATGTTAAGTGAATTAACTAACAAAGGGCTTGGAGTCCTTTTAAATACCATGGTCTTTATTTTAATAGCAAGGAATATGTTAAAGGGGGTTAGATGAAGATAAGTTTGACATGATTTTTTTTACATTGAAAGTATTATTTTGGCTGATGTGTGCAGAATGGTTCAGAGAAAAGCAAGAGGAAATTCATGAGGGTCAGTCCACATAAGAACTGATGCTCACTTGACCTAGTTACACAGTAGTAGAGATGGAGAGAAACTTTGATGTTAGGGAGAAACAGATGTGAAGAATGATAATTAGGTTTCTTTTTGTGCAACTGAATATGCATGCCATTCCCTGAGGCAGGTAGCACTGGAGGGAGTGTGTATTGGCAGGAAAACTGAGGTTCAACTTGGTATTACTGAGTTTGTGCTGTCTTAGATCCAAGTGGAGAAATCAGGTAGGAGACTCTTTTACCCTGGGTGAGCAAATGTTTTGGATTGCTTTACAGTTGAGATTATGCCAGTTGGTCCATGCTACAATCTAGAGTTCCTACTTTTACTCTCAAGATCAGTTCTTTAAGTCTACTGCATCAGAGCTTGGTCAGAATTAGAGCAAATTTGTCATCTTCTGCATCTAGATTTGATTGAACTATGGGAAATATCATAGAGTGAGGAAAGGATTAAGGACTAACTAAGGCTTTAAAAATCCCAATGACAGAATTGAGAATGTTGAGCCTGCCAGGGGGAGAAGATATGTGTAGTTCTACATAAGAAAACGAAAAAAGGCAAATTTTCCTGTATTTCCATGTAAAAGAAAATATCAAATACCTCCAAGTTGATAGCCTTCATAAGAGATAAGGTCAATAAGCAATATTAGCATATTGGATTCTAAGGTAACATTCCTGAGGCAACACTTCCATATGATTAAAACAGGAGTTGGGGAGGAGCTGAGCTGGTCATTCTCTCCCATGAAGCACATTGTGGGGAGTTAGACAGGTGTGTTTAGAGTCACTAACCATTTTGAGCCACCTTCTGGCTATCTAGCAACTCTGAGGAGTTGCTAGATAGCCACTCCTCCCCTCTTAACAGCCCCCCACCACCACACACACAGCAGTATCATGCCCATAGCAGGTCTCTGTGAGGGTTAAGTCTTGGTTTTCACACCCACTATAGTAGGCAGAATAGTGAACCCAGGTACTAATTCCTAAACCTGTGAGTATGTCACCTTATATGGAAAATGGAACTTTGCCTATGGATTAAATTAATGGTCTTGAGTGAGAAGACTATTGTAGATTATCTGGCTGGGCCCATTGTAAGCACAGGTCTCTATAAGAGAGGGGCAAGAATGTCAGAGCAGAAGACAGACTTGAAGACAGTAGTCAACTTACTGCTTTTGAAGACAGAGAAGGGACCACAAGTCAAAGAATGCAAGTGGAACCTGTAAGCTGGAAAAGGCACAGATACCAGACCCCCACAGCCTTCAGAAAGGTGATAGCTTGGTTAACACCTTGGTTTTAGCCAAGTACCGTATTTTTCGGACCATAAGACGCACTTTTTCCCCCCCAGAAGTGGGGGGAAAAAGTCCCTGCGTCTTATGGTCCAAATATAGCCTACACATATACTTTAAAAAATAAGTTTTTTTACTTGCCCGGCTCTGTGTGGTCTCTGTGTGCTTGCCCGGCTCTAAAATGGTTCTAAATGCTGCTGTTTACTTTACAGGGTTGATTACATGTGTTTATGACTGTGATGTTGGGTTTTAATGCACATAAAATATTTTAGGACACTATTTGTTTCAGAATCTTTTTTTCTTCATTTCCCTTCTCTAAAAACTGGTGCGTCTTATGGTCCGAAAAATAAGATAAATTTGAAGGAAATGGTGAAATCGTGAAATGTTTCTATCTTATGATACAAGTAACTGGAAAAATGGTGTGCTATTTATTAAAAGGGAGAGATCTAGAAGAAGAGTGGTTCAGTGGGCATTTCAAATATTACATATCTGAACAGAAGTTCAGATTACATATCTTAACCCATCAGAACATCTGTCAGATATGTAATATTTGAAATGCCCACTGAACCACTCATTAGAGCTGCTGCGTGGACAGTTGGAGCTCAGTTGGAGCTATCGGCTGAAATTCAGGACAGTATTCAGGCCTGGAGATAATGCAGCTATAGGAGGGACATTTCTTTATGCTAATGGCTTAACTGTCAACTCTCACATGCATGATCCTAACAAGTGAGATTTCAATTTAATGCAAAGACTGACTGAAGTACAAAGAAATAGATTAATCTAAGTCATAACTGGAAGTTTTAACATTTCTTCCTCAGTAACTGGTAAAAGAAGCAGAAAACATAATCAGTAAGGAAATCAAAGATTTTAACAAACTGATTAACAAATTTGATCAAATAGAATATATATTATTGCTCACAACAAACTCAGAAAAAAAAACCCCACATTATTTTCAAGTATACATGAATCATTTACTATCTATACATGCTGGATGGTAAAGAGAATCTCAACAAATTTTAAAGGATTGAAATTTTATAGAGTAGGCTCATTGACCACAGTGTTTATTAAGCTAAAACTCAATAACAACAAGAAAATAATTAGAAAATTCCAATATGTCTAAAAATTGAAGAGAACAGTTCTAAAATATTCATGTGACAAAATACATATTAAAGAAAATTAGAAAATATTTTAATTGAATGATAATAAAGATTTTTATTTTAAAAATTTGGGAAGTTAACAAACATAATCGTAGAGAAAAATTATAACCTAAAATGGAAATATTATAGAAGAATAAAAGCTAACAGGTTAGTGAGCTAAGTAACTATCTCAGGAAGTCAGAAATAGTAGCACAAGTTAATATCACATAAAGCTTAGAGAAAGAAACAAGAAAATAAGAATAGAAAATAAGTGAAATTGAAAACATGCAGGGTGGCAGAGGGTAACGGGGGCCAAATATATGGGGATGGACGAAGGTTTGACTTTGAGTGGTGGGCACACCATGCCTTACAGGGAGAGTATCAGTGAAATGTGCACTTGAAACATTTTTGACTTATTAACAAACTAGAGGCCCAGTGCACGAAATTCATGCACGGGGGTGAGTGTGTCCTTCAGCCCAGTCTGTACCCTCTCCAATCTGGGACCTTTCAAGGGATGTCGGGCTGCCTGTTTAGGCAAGATCCCAATAGGGATCCAGGACTGCTGGCTCTCACTGTTCGCCTTCCTGCCTTCCTGATTGTCCCTAATTGCTTCTGCCTGCCAGCCTGATCACCCCCTAACCACTCCCCTACCAGCCTGATTGATGCCTAACTGCTCGCCTGCCAGCCTGTTTGCCCCTAACTGTCCTCCCCTGAAGGCCTGAGTCCCCCCCACCCCCCCCAACTGCCCTTCCCTGCAGGACCAGTCACCCCCAACTTTTCTCCTCTGCTGGCCTGGTCACCCCTAACTGCTCTTCCCTGCAGCTTGATCACCCCCAATTGCCCTTCTTTGCAGGCCTGGTCTCTCCCAACTGCCCTCCTCTGCTGGCCATCTTGTGGTGGCCATCTTGTGTCCACATTGGAGTGATGGTCAATCTGAATATTACTCTTTTATTAGATAGAATAGAGACCTGATGCACAGATGGGGGCTTCCTGGTTTGCCCTGAAGGGCATCCCAGATCAGGGTGGGGGTGCCCTTGGAGTGTGGGGCTGCTTGGGCAAGGTGCCTGTGGTAATCTGCAGGCAGGCCACGCCCCCCAGTGACCTAACTAGGGGCCCAAGTATCTGGAGTTTATTTATCTTCTATAATATAATTGAAACTTTGTAGGCTTGAATGAAGACCAAGGCAGGCCAGGGAGGCAGAAGGGTTGGCTTCCTCCATCGCCAGGGACAACTCAAGCCTCCTGCTTTCTCCAGGTCTGTGGCTGCTGCCATTTTTGTTGGATTTATTTATCTTCTCTAACTGAAACTTTGTAGTCTTGAGTGGAGGCTTTGGCCCTCCAAAGCAGACAGAAAGCTTGGCTTCCTCCATTGCTGGGGAAACCCAAGCCTCCTGCTGGCTCTGTGGCCACAGCCATCTTGGTCAGGATTAATTTGCATACTCACTCCTGATTGGCTGGTTGGTGTGTCTTGGGAATGTAGTGGAGTGATGGTTAATTTGCATATTACTCTTTTATTAGATAGAATGGCACTGCAATATATTTTTTAAAAAGAAAAAAGTAAAATTAGGAACATACAGGGATTGTTCCTAATGACAAGATTAAAAGAAAAAAGACTCAGATACCCATTTTAGACAGGAAAATACATATCAATATACATGCTAACTCCCCAGAGAGATAATGAGACTGTATAATGGATGGCATTATGACAATAAATTTGAAAATATAGATTAAGTGAAAAATACCTAGAAAAGAGTCTGATCCCAGCAGCAGCTGCAGCAGCTCTTGTCCTTCTAGGCTTTACTTGCTATCTCCTTTAGTTTCCAGAACATGGCCTCTGGTGTGGCTGAGTCATCAAAGTGTTCAATGACATGAAGGTATGTAAGTCCTCGACATCAGAGGAGGTGAAGAAGCACAAGAAGGTGGTGCTTTTCTGCCTGAGCGAAGACAAGAAGAACATCATTCTGGAAGAGGGCAAGGAGATCCTGGCTGGTGATGTGGGCCAGACAGTGGACAACCTCTACGCCACCTTCGTCAAGTTGCTGCCGGACAAAGACTGCCGCTATGCTCTGTATGATGCAACCTATGAGATCAAGGAGAGCAAGAAGGAGGACCTGGTGTTTATCTTCTGGGCCCCTGAGTCTGCGCCTCTTAAGAGCAAAATGATCTACGCCAGCTCCAAGGAGAAACAGGGATCAAGCATGAATTATAAGCAAACTGCTATGAGGAGGTCAAGGACCACTGCACTCTGGCAGAGAAGCTGGGGGGCAGTACTGTCATCTCCCTGGAGGGCAAGCCTTTGTGAGCCTCTCCAGCCCCTGCCTGGAGCATCTGGCAGCCCCACACCTGCCTGGGGGTGGGGGTTGGTGCAGGCTGCCCCCCTTCTGCCAGACCTGAGGGCTGGAAGGATCCAGCAGGGTTAGGACAATCCCTTCACCCAGGTACCAAACAGCCCCCTCCCCCTGGTCCTTCCTTCTCCCTCCTCCCTGGTGGTCCTGGCCTTCCCAGACCGCTTCTGACCTTCTGGTTCCTTTTGGGTTGAAACAGGCCAAGTCCTCCCACCCCAGGCACCCCCGTTTTGGAGAGGGCCTGTATTTATTTAATGACACCCCTACTTGCAACCTGTTCCTCCCTCCCTTTCCCATGCTGCCAACTTCTAACTGCAATAGTGACTCTGTGCTTGTCTTTTTAGTTCTGTGTATAAATAGAATGTTGTGAAGATAACCCTTCCCCATGCTGCCTGGTTACCCTCCCCCTTTCCACCTGGTCTTGGCCACTCATGGAAGCAGGACCAGGAAGGGACATTTAATTAAAAAAAAAAAAAAAAAAAAAGGAAGAAAAACAACAATAAAAAGCCTCACTTGATTAAAAAAAAAAAATACCTAGAAAAAATACTAAAATTTCTTAAAGGAGAAAATTGAAAGAGCATTCTAAATGTTAAAGAAGGTGAGTCTGGAATATAAGACCTTCCCACAAGTATAAATTCATAACTGGATAGAATATATTTGGAATATTCTGCTAATATTTAGGATACATTATTAAGTAAATTGAAAGCTTTCTTCCTGTGTTTTGTAATAAAACAAATATTTAGGAACATGAAGATTATTATTCTCTTTGTTTTGTTTATTCAGAATAATCTTACCATCACAAGCTGAAAAGTATATTATGTAAATGAAGATAGAGGCTATCTCACTCCCGGAGATCGGACAGGGAACCAAATACATTTTTGTAAACAGAGGCCATCACAGATATAAAAGGCATAAAGCTTCACAACTGTGCTAGGTGAATTTCTGGTGACATGACCGGCTTAAACGTTCAGAAATCAAATAATGTGGTTTGCACACCAGCAGAGATAGGAAGAACAGTGATATGATCACCGTGAAAGATGCAAAGATGCTGATAAATTTAACATCCATTCATCTTTGACATCTCAGCCACCTAAGAATGGAAGAGAATTGCTTTCATCTGAAGAAGGATATTTGTAAAGAATTCTGTTCCAAATATCATACATAATGCAGTATGCTATTTTATAATTATTCAAGTACACCAAAGAATTAATAATCAGCTCAGATTCATACCTTTTCATAAACAGTCACTTGATTTAAACAAGAAAACAGAGCAGTAGAAAAAGAAATACAATAAATAATAAGTGGTGCCCTGTCAATTGGATATCCAAGTGGACAAAAGTTAAATATGACTTTAAAAAAAATTAAATGTGACTTAAAAAAAAGTTAAATCTGTTACCTAACTCAAAGAGAAGCTCCCGGTGGCTGGAGATCCATACATATTGGCACATGCCAGGCAATACAACTTCTGTACAGTAAGATTTAAAAACATGCTCACAATCTTGATATCAGAAAGCCTTTTTAAAATAATAGATAAATGTCTGTAAGTATAAAGGAAAATATCAAAACTAGGACTGTATTAAAGTTAAACATTTTGTTTAACAAAAGACACTATTAAGAAAGAAGATATTTGCAGTCCATATAACCGGCAAGCTTTTTACCTAGGTTTTTGTCCAATTGGTTAATAAATATAGATTAAAAAGTGTTCAACTTATGATGAGCAAAGAAATGTAAATTTAAGTCACAATATAATACAGTGTTCTACTTACCAGAATGGCTAAAAGAGAAAGAAAGAAAATGCTGAAAAATATGATATGGAACAAAAGAAACTCATATACTCCAAGTAGAAGTGGAAGTCAGTGTAAATCTCTGGAAAACATTTGGCATCATCAGTGAAAGCTGAAGATACATAACGCCAATGGTCCCTCACACTCACCTCTATCTGTGCATTCAAAATAAATATCTACAGTTCTGTACCAATAAACATGTCCAAGGTGTTCATAGCTGTGCTATTTATGCATCCTAAACTGTGAACAATTAAAATCTATCAAAATAGAATGGATAAAGAGGCATGCTAATATAATGGAACATTTTCACAATGAAAATGTAGAAATTACAGCTTTGTGTAATGACATGGTGAATCTCACAAACACAATGTTGATTAAAAGAAACTAGATCCAAAAGTTGCTGATATAAATTTAAAATATCTGGCAAGCTGAACTATAGTATTTAAGGATAGGTATAAAACTACAAAGTAAAGTAAGAAAATGCTAAGTAAAATTAAGAAGTTACCTGTGGAGAATAGAGAGAGAAATGAGAGAGCGGTGGGGTGAGGGGGCGGGCCTTGCGGTGCTGACAGTGTGTGCTGTTCTGTCTTTGACCTGCCGATTCTCTGGTGCTGTCTTTTTGGAACTGTGTGTTATACAGGGGGGTGCAAAAGTAGGTTTACAGCTGTGAGTACGTGAAACAGTGCATTCTGGTATTGTTATTCATGTTATTTTCCATATGAACAACTGGAAACATACTTTTGTCCCACCCTGTATTTTCTAATTATAAAAAAATTTTTCGTGTGTGTGTGTGTGTGTGTGTGTGTGTGTGTGTGTGTGTGTGTGTTAGAGAGAGAGAAGAGTTAAGAAATTGCTTATGGAGATGACCTTATGAAGAATTTTATCTATAGGAAGTAAAAGAGAAACATTATGGCAGAATGCTATGGAATTGTGTCTATCAACGCGGTTTATGTCTTAATAGGAAATATTTTGGTATGTTTCTACATTAATGATAATTCTTCAGAAGAAAAAGAGACATCAGTGAGGTTGAACCCAGAGAAAATTACACAGCTTGAAATCTGTGACGGTGGAGTGCGCTGAGGCCTGAGGGGCCAGCGCTCAGGGGCTCCGGGCAGGTGCGGGCGGCCTGCGGCGGGCGTGGAGGAGGCTGCGGGCTCAGGGCTCAGAGCCCAGGGAGGATGGACGCAGGCCTCTGGCCTCTCCTTATGCAGGGAGCTCGTCTGGAGACAGGTTCTCCGTGGCCTCAGGGACGGGGTCTCAGGGACTGGCTCTAAGAGACAGCGGCCTGGCAAGGCAGCCACGCTGGTGCCACTGCCTCTGCCGCCGGGTTCGGCCCTCTCCCGGAACCCCTCCGGGCAGCCCCCACACCCCCGGGGGCTCACCGGCGGAGGACCCAGGCTACCCCACAGGCAGGCATGCCATGGGTTCAGGGAGGATTCCTGGACCACCCCTGGCCAGTGCCTGGAGTCTTATAGGCACCATTTTTAAAAGGTGCAGGAACATGTGACTCCAGGAAGGGCATGCAGAATATTCTTAGAAATATTGCCTGAAGAAGTGAGACTTCGTTGGCATGAGATGTTACTAGCAATAATGCTTCTGCTCCCTGATCAAATCCTCCATTATATAACCAACAGATCATATATTCATATCGATAGCCATTTATTAATGAATATTTATTTATTTATTATTTAAATCCTCACCTGAGGATATTTTCCCATTGATTTTTAGAGAGAGTGTAAGAGACAGGGAAAGAGAGAGAGAAACATCGATGTGAGCAAAACACATTGATTGGTTGTCTCCTGCCTGCACTACCCGGCCTGGGCAAGAAAGGAGCCTGCAACTGAGTTACAATCAAACTGGGACCCTTCAGTCCACAGGCTGACCTCTATCCACTGAGCCAGACCAGCCAGGCCTCATCAATGAGCATGTGTTTAGCCGTGACATGGGAATGGTCGCAGAAGCAATTTAGTTTTTGTGTAGGTAGAATAGTTCTGAAGAAACGGGCCCTGGCTTTCGAGTGTTTGTGTAAATGTTAGTTTCAGCTCGTTTTCTTACGAACTGGCTGGCATTGGTAAGCCCCCCAAATGACTGGTACTGTTACCTCGTTAGTTACAGTTTAGGAATTAGATCCCAGAGTTCTTAATGGCACCCGCCACAGCTGAGATATCTCTATAGGACTTCAGTTGATGACTATGGTGTCTAGCCAGCCCTTTTGCGCCTCTGCCCCTCCTACCAGTTCAATGCGGTCTCCACCTTCAGGAATTTTTTCTGTATTTTAGTTGTAATGCCAGTTTGTAATCCACTTACTCTGCTGCCATTTTAATCTCTTCTGGCTGTTGTTCTGAGGCTGGATATGCATGGCTTGTCTGCCTCTCAGGAGACCAGCCTTTGCTGGGGGTGGAAGGCAGACAGGCTCTGCAGCCAAGGACTGAAATGCTTAGGATGGGCCATTAATTAATTAAACTTGAAGGTCAAGTTTTGCTTTTGGTAGATGGCTTACCCATGATTCTATTTCCCATCCCACATTAAGTCCTGTCATATTGCCTAACATAGAACCCCAAGGAAATGGTAGAATGAGCCATGCATGTCACCAGCACCCACAAAGCTGAGCTATTCATCTCCAAACCTCTTACTATCCGATAGTTGTGAAGAGCCCACAAGGTTACATAAGTGTGTCTGGCCCACACCACAAAAACTAAAAAAACGTGGACATTTCTAGGTTTTCTGAAAATTTTTTGTCCTTGATTACAGTACAGAGTATAATCTGGATTCACATTGTTGTAAATCAAAGATCAGAGTGGAGACTGGATGCTACTTGGAGTCTGTGGATGGAGGAGAAGATGTGGAGGATAGTGCCCTGGTGTAAGCATTGCTGAGTGGCAATCCTTCTGAGGAGTCTATTACAGCTGTGAGTGAGGAAAGATGCATGAAGAAGTCTCCCAACAATAGTTTAATTGTGAAATTATGAACTTTGCATGAAAAAATCAGCCTCTTCAAGCTTGTCTTTTAAAGTATACACTTAAGATTTGGAAGAGAAACCAAGATGGCGGCATAGGGTAGACACCCGAATGCAGCCTACCACAACAAATTTGAATTTAGAACTGAAAAACAGGGGAGGCATTGCCCTGAAGCGCCAGACGGCTGGCTGAGAGGAGGCTCTGCCATCTGGGAAGGAGAGAGAAGGCACG